AAGCCAGCCTCAGCAAAAGTGAGGCACTAAGCAACTCAGTGAGACCCTGCCTCTAAATAAATATAAAATAGGGCTGGGGATGTGGCTCAGTGGTTGAGTGCCCCTGAGTTTAATCCCTAGTACACCCCCACCCCTGAAAAAAAAAAAAAGAGAAACAAAACGAAGCAAAACCTCAAGCCCAGATCTGTCCTTTCTCTGAACCATTTAACTCTGCTGAGTCCTCAGGCTGGCAAGGATAACCTCATAGTCACAACAATTTACAATATATTTTGTGTAGAACTACAAAGGTTCCCAACACAAAGAAATGATAAATGTTTAAGAATATGGAAATGCTAACGAGCTTGATTTGATCATTATGTATTAGATACATGTATTGAATTACCACACTGTACCCATATAAACACTTATTTAATAAGGTCATTTTGCACTGATTTTTTGTCATATAAGTGTTTATATGGGTAAGAAGGTACAAATGAGCTTATTAAATATGTCGGGATGGAAAGGATAATTATAATAATCTTTCCTTTAAAAAGGATCAGACTGATAGAAGGAGTAGGATGGGAACTTGGATGTCAGGTAAGTCTGTTTGGGAATCCATAGCTTTGGGGACAGAAGGCTGGAGGAGCAGCTCCACATGGGGTTAGCTATGAACTGCTCGGTCAATGTGGATGCTAAAGAGAAAATGTGGCCTTCCTAATGTGGATCTCAAAGCTGGCCCAACAGAGGCAAGACAGTCAGAATGGATTCTTCCATCATCTCTGGAGTAACAAGAATGTCATTCAGTGAAAAGCAGGGAATCAAATTATTTCTTGGATTGCCCTTTAGATAACACTATCTCCCAAAGCATATAGAACACAGCAGAAGAAACTCCCAGCGTGAAAAAGAACTAGGTGTGAAGTAGAAAGGGAAGTCAATCACATCCCATGAGCCAGAGAGATCAAACCTAATGTTGGGCATAAAGGATGCAAATCTTAAAAATCACAGAAAATTTAGACCCAAGACTTTAAAGAGAAGATGGTTCAAGGACGGAAAAGTTTGAAAAAGCAAAACTGTAGTGACCTCACCATAATTAGTAGGTGTGAACAGGTAGAATAAGAGAAAATGGACATGCTGACATCTGCATCAATATTTTATCAGTCAGAAATGTCGGTTGGACAGTGATCTGATGATCAAGGTCAGAGATGGATTTCCAAGGGACAAGCACCATGGAGGAACTGCAGGACGCAAAGATGATGTGACATATTCCCTGTCTTTGTTTTGCACACAAAACTATCTAGCTCAGTGCTTACAACTGAGTAGAGAACCAAAAACGATCACCCTAATTGGATCAGCCTACAGAAGAAACAAAGGACATTTTATACAGCAGTTTTATTACATTGAGTCTGATTTTTAAAAATTACAGTTATTTTTTTGATACTAGAGATTGAACTCAGGGGCACTCAACCACTGAGCCACATCCCCAGCCCTATTTCATAATTTTATTTAGGGAAAGGGTCTCACTGAGTTGATTGATGCCTCACTTTTGTTGAGGCTGGTTTTGAACTCACGATCCTCCTGCCTCAGCCTCCTGAGCTGCTGGGATTACAGGTGTGTGCCACCACGCCCAGATAAAAATTACAATTCTTACAATAGCCAACATTTTTTAAGTGGATCTCTTCCTATATATTGTCTGAAGTATTTTCCATGCATTTAATATTTGCAATCCCGAGAAATAAGTATTATCAGTATCCACATTTTATCTTCATTCGAGGATAGAAAGTTGGTTAACTTGTCCTGTGAAAGGTGGTGGCTCTGGTCATTGAGTTTACCTGTGTGCTACCTTCACCAATGGCTGATTCTCTTTGTATGGTAATCACGAATCAGGAAATCCTGCTGGGAGGAATTCCATTATATGTGGTTTCTATGTCTGTTACTGTATCACAGAAATCCTGCTTCAATCATGGGAAGCCACATATCCTGCAAGAAGAGAAATTCTTCCCAGGTTTGTTTCCATTCTCTAGCCACTTGACCTTGAAGCTGAGCTTTTATGCTATAATTGTGAAAAACATCTGCACAGTTTTGCTGAGGTGTGATGGCGGTCCCCTGGGCCTGGAGAAGTAAGTCTGACATCTAGGCTTATTCTAGGCCCTGGAGTTCATATGTTCAAGCTCTAACCCCCATGTGACCATATTTAAAAAGAGGGCCTTTAGGAAGTAATTAAGGTTAAATGAGGTGAGAAGGATGGGCCCTAATCTGGAGTCCTTGTAGGAAAACAAAGAGACAGTAGAAAAGAGGTCATATGTAGATGCAGTAAGAAGGTAGCTCTTCTGGCCAGGAAGAGAGGCCTCATCAGAAATTACCCTTACAGCTCCTAGATCTTAGATCTCCAGCATCTAGAACAGTGGGAAAATAAAGTTCTTTTGACAAAGTCACCCAATCTGTGGAATTTTGCTATGGTAGTTGGAGATGACTGATATATGGGCTGAGCCTGCTTCCCTATGAGCTGGGATTAATGACAGTTCCTGCCCATAGCTTCTATCCTAAGGGTTGTTCTGAGAGAAATCATGTGAAAAGCTAAGCATGGAGCCTGGCACCCAGAAAGAGTTTAATGATTTCAGTGTTGTCATTGTTAATACTAACGTGTACTCCCTAATTCCTTGCATGTGACATTCCTACCTAGATATGATAGGAATGAGGTTAAAATGAGATCTCCTCTTAAACCTTCTCTAACAACAAGAAAGAGTGTACACCTACTTACCTGGGAACAGGGGCACCAAGGAAGGTGTGCTAAAACTATGTTTTAAAACTCATGCTCTAGCTTAAAAACACACAGATTTTGTATTCTAATTCATAAGACAGTCACATTTACCTGAATTGATTTTAATTCTTAAAATGTTTTCATAAAACTGATGGGAAGAATGGGAAGTTATACTCCATGTATGTATAATATGACAAAATACATTCTACTGTCATGTATATATATAAAGAACAAATAAAAATTTTAAAAAAATCCAATTATGGCTACCAACTGCTTGGTATCTACTGTGATTAAACAACAACAATAACAACAACAAAATCTGAGGTTTTAGACAGATAACCTGGTCTTGTGTGCCCTAGTCATCACACAACCACTTAAAGGTTGAGGCGCACTTTGCAAGCCATGAAGAATGGTTCTGATGTAAGGATTTAGAAATATTCTTTAAAAAAATCACCATTACGACTAATCAACTGAAAATGCACTCTTAAGCATATCATCTTACTCAGGTTAGCAGCCTGAGCTGACCATGTGCCAGGCACCAGGTCAGCAGAGGGATCACAACAGAGCTATTCCCTGCCTTCTGGAAGCTCAGTTCTGGGCAGAGGAGGAAGACAGTGGAGGATTAACTCTATACTTTTTTTTTTTTTTTTAATTCTGGCAATGCTGGATATCCAGCCCAAGGCCTTGTGCATGCTGGCTAGGGCTTCCTTGATGAGTCCTGGACTTGCTCTATACAGCAAATAGCACATTACCCACGACAAGAACTGGGAAAGAGAAGGAAAGCAGACTAGACAGAGAAGGTCTGAGTCCACAAATGCTCTGAGCACCAAGGTATTGCAGAAGTCTGGCTTCCCAGTGAGCATCTTTGGAGGCAGCCTTCGGAAGGGGTGGCATTTAAAGCATTTAAAGCTTTGTGAATTATTGTCACCCTGTTTCCCTCAAGTCCGGGTAGGCCTACTTATGGATTTTTGTACTGGAGACCAGACAGTGGTATAGGAGAATGCTGGTGCTCTTTGTCTTGGTGGGGACAGCAGGGCTGAGGAATGGTGGGAGGTACTGCTTTTCTTCTTTCTGGTTTTCCTCCTCAGTGAGAGCATGAACCCTGGCTGAGAAGTTAGTTAACAGGTGAGAAATACCTTACAGATCATGGCCTTAGTTTGCAATGGAACTTCTCCCATTTCCTGCCTGCTCTGGGGGAGGGGAGGAGATAAAGCGAGGGTGGAAGGGTATTTTGTTTGGGGGAGGGGTGGTTGGGTCTACCGTGGCCCTCTGAGCCTGGCTTCACCTGAACTAGCGGTTATCCCCCACACCACACCTGCTCAGGCACTGAGTCCTTGTCCCTAGGACTTTTTAAGTGATTTCACCCTCCTGGTCACTCCTCAGCATAGTAAACAGGCAGATTGGGGGAAGGGTATAAAGTTATTGTGGGCAGGGGGGATTTTCCATTAATAATAGTAATTTAAACAACAACTCTTCTCATGATGGCACATTTGCCAGTTTACCAAGTGCCTTCAAACCTGTGATCTCTTTGGATCCCAGAGGTGCCAGCTGGAACCCCTACTTTCTGATTTCAGCCTTTGGCACTGCCCCATGTCCAGACAAGCCACTTCTTTACAGACACTCTTTACAGGCACCCACATGCCTATTGCAATGTTTACATCTTTACATAGGATGCGCGCTGCCCCCACCCCAACCTCCTTGAATGCCTCTCTCAATGCTCTAGACAATCCCAATTTCCGTAGTTCCTATCACTTCTATGAAACTGCTATCAAATACACGCAAGCATGCGCGCAGGCGCGCTCACAACAGCCCCTCCTTCCAAAGCCCTAGGAAGCTGCAAACTTTGTCTCCAGGGACTTCTCCCCAGGCGCACAGCAGGGGCTTCGCACGTCTCTGTGTTTGGCGAGCGTGATCTGTAAACCGTATTTTATTCTTCCTGCGTGGAGTGGGATGGGAGGAGCTCGCTGGCCTCAGGAATGTGCTGTTTATGAAGTTAGGAATTGGAGGGTATGGAAACTCCAATTTCACACACAGGAGTTGAGTCAGCCCCAGGATAAGAGGGACTGACGCGCACCGGGCTGCTCTAGCTGCAGGAGGCACCTGTAGACACCGCACCGCGCGCGTCTTCCAGTCCCCCACCCGCACCAGTCCTGTCGCTACTCAGCCCCCGCCCTACCGCCCACCTTTTTCCCGACTTAGAGCTCCCAGGTCCCCCTTTCCCGCCCCAAGCAGCAACAAGTGCGGGCGCCGCGGCTCCTCTTACCCCGGCCTCTGTCCATGGCGCCGCCGGGATCCCCCGGGCGCGGGGCCGCAGGGCACCGAGGCTCCTGCGAGGCTGGCGGCCGGCGCGCTGCTCTCTCGAAGGCCGGCGAGTGGCCAGCGCGCTTGGCGGTCCCCTCCCCCAGACAGGATGCTCGCCGCGCGCCCCCGCCCCGCCCGCGCCCGCCCCTCCGCGCCGCTCCCGGAATAGACCCGGAGAAGCCTCGCTCCCTGGCCGCGGGCCGGTGTCCCGTGTCCAGCACACGCCCGCGCCACGCCCTGCCTCCTGCACGCCCTTCGCGGCCCTTCCGCTGGCCTTGGAGGGCCCGCTTCCCGGTCCACACGCTTTGGTGCCAGTGCCCGCGTGGCCCCTCCAGGCTAGACCAGGGCGCTGCGGCAGTGCTCGCACTCCCCTAGCCATGGGGGGCTACCTCACGTGTCAGCCCACTCCATCTTTGATGCAGACTGTTAGAACTTGTGTTTCTCTCATGGGAACGCAAAATTTCCATCAGAGAAACACAAGTTCTAATGTGTTGAGAACACAAGTTCTCAAATGCAAAACCTCTTTCCCTGAAGTTGTCACCCATTTCCTGGCTCTGGATTTATCTTCTCTATTCCAAGCGTCTCTCCTGAGCACCTTCTAGCGCCAGATAGTGGACCTGGAACTAGGCTGTTAGAATGTCAATAACTGTGTGAAAAAAGGCGTGAGATGATCATAAAAAACAACAAGATTTTAAAAAAGAAAACCACTCCGGAAAAGGAGCGATTGCCAAAAGATGGGCAATGACTTGGGACAGCGCCAACTTTTGAAGTTTCTAGTGTACTAAAAAGTGCAGAAATGCCAAAATGGAGTGATAAAAATTGTGTAAATGAATAGCCATAGCATACAAAATACAGTGCAATATTAGTGTGCTCCTTTCAAGATACTAAAAGAATGTAGAATGTATTCAGTGTGGTCCAGGAATGGGATTTAAGTTTAAAGTTATATGAAACATGTCAATTCCTTCATCCTATTAGTATATCACCGTGAAAATAGGTGTAACTCATTTGTAGACAACATCAAATGCCTGAATTTAAGACCCTTCCTAAAGCAAAGTCCAAGCCCAATTGTCCACCTGGAAATTCCAACTCACCATCATGGGCCAGGCCATGTTGCCTGAGTCACCACTTAGCACATTCTGGCACCTGGAATACCTTGTATAAAGGCATAGAGGCAAGAGAGGGCCCTGTAAAGAGCATCCTATACCTTCTTGTACCGGGAATAGTTTCTCCATTGCTTCTCTGGGCAAATTGAAATCAATATTGTTTTTGTAAGATGGTATCATTAGTTTGATTAGTGTGTTTGTGTGAGCTCTTAGAGGCAACAAGGGATAGTAAGAAAACCATGGCTTTGACTCTGAAAACTTGAGCATGAGCTCTTGCTCTATTTACTTAGAAAGTTCTGCATATAACTTCCAGTCTAGGATGCCTTCTTGCTCATCTGTGCTGCGGGGAACCTCAGACTGACCTCACAGAGCTCAAGGGGCAGGGCAAATGAAGTGATGATACAAACCCACTTTATAAACCATAAATAGCTACAAAAATGTGAGCCATTATTATTTTCTGAGTTGCTCTTTGTTCCTGCCCATTTTTCCCAATTTGAAAAGGTCATTTTGAATTCTAAAACAGCAAACCATCAATTTACAAGTAGATTAAGTTCCCAAAGTCCACTAAACTCTGAAATACTTGGAAATCAGTCTATACGTTGCAGTTAAGTTTCCATGCTAGCCTTCCAATTCTTTTAAAAACACGTTTCATTTGAAATATGAACGAGAGTTTGAAACATTATTACTGTAAGAACAGATAGAAGCTTTTGTAGAGATTTTTTAAAAATTTATTTATTTATTTACTTTTATCATACATAGATGGGATATAATTTCTCATTTTTCTGAGTTTACATATTGTAGAATCACATTGGTCATACAGTCACATACATACATACAGTAATAATGTCTGTTTAATTGTACTTTTTTTCTTATCCCCTCATCCCCTGCCTTCCCCTCCTTGTACTTCCTTCTACCTAAACTAAGGTAACATTATTTTTTTGCATTATAATTCTTAATACACATAAATACCATGCTTTTTGTATTTCTGTTTGTATATAAAGTATGTTGACATCCAATTCAAGTCTTCATACATGTACTTTGTATAATGATGACCATCACATTCCACCATCCTTGTTACTCCCCTACCCAATCCCTGTCCCTCTCACCCCCCTTCCCTATCTTGAATTTATCTATTCCTCCCATGCTCTCTCTCCCTATCCCACGATGTGTCAACCTCCCTATATCATAGAAAACATTCAGTATTTGTTTTGGGGGGATTGGCTGACTTCACTTAGCATTATCTTCTCCAAGGCTATCCATTTACCTGCAAATGCCAAAGTTTTGTTCTTTTTTAATGCTGAGTAAAATTCCATTGTGTATATATGCCTCATTTTTTAATCCATTCATCCAGGAATGAGAGCTCTCAACCTAGATGAAGGGCATCTAGGTTGGCTCCACAGTTTAGCTATTGTGAATTGGGCTGCTATAAACATTGATGTGTCTGTGTCCCTGTAGTATGCTGTTTTTAAGTCCTTTGGGTATAGTCCGAGCAGAGGAATAGCTGGGTCAAATGGTGGTTCCATACCTAGTTTTCCAAGGAATCTCCATACTGCCTTCGAAATTGGCTGCACCAGTTTGCAGTCCCACCAGCAATGTTGTAGAGATTTTAAAAGAGAACTTTTAGAAGCCTTTAGGGACTTTGGAAGTTTCTTCAGAGAATTGGAACAGAAAAGTCAAAAGGGCTAAGGAGAGTTTACAAGTGTCAATGAAGTTAACTTATGGAGTGGAATTAACTATGGTCACAGAGAGATAAAAAGATGGAAAAACACAGTATGTGCAAAATTTTGAGAATAAAAATTTGCTGGGAAGGTGTAGAGGTTCTGGTTTAGATAATTACCCATAATGACCATTAGGTGGCAATGTTGACTAAGTAGACTACAGCTTGGTTGCTGCCAGGATAAGGGAATGAGATGGATGAAGACTATTTCTGGATTAATGTATAGGAACAACTATATATTTTGTCTACTTTTCCTTTAGTGAGATTTATATTCACCACAAAATGATGGATTACCTATCTTATTTACTATCATTTCAGGTGATTTTGATTACACTATGTGCAAGTTCCTATTCAGAGAACAAACACTGATTAGAAATGTTCCTTGTTCTCCAGGAATCTACAACCCAGTGGAGGACATAGTTATATACAAGCTACTTTTTAATACCAGTTAGTGTGTGAAAAGTACTACAGGAGAGATCAAACGCTGTTGCAGTCTGTTATGGTTTGGATGTGAGGTGTCCCCTAAAAGCTCATGTGTGAGCCAATGCAAGAAGGTTTAGAAGAGAAATGATTGGATTACGAGAGTCTTAACCCAATCAGTGAATTAATCCCTCTATGTGGATTAACTGAGTGGTAACTGAAGGTGAGTAGGGTGTGGCTGGAGGAGGTAAATCTTTGGGGGTGTGCCTTTGGGGTATATATTTTGTATCTGGTGAATGGAGTTTCTCTCTGTTTTCTGATCATCATGTGAGCTGCTTCCATCTGCCACACTCTTCCTATGATGTTCTGTCTCACCTCAAGACCTGAGGAATGGAGCCAGCTGTCTATGGACTGAGACCTCTGAAGCCGTGAGCTCCCAAATAAACTTTTCTTCCTCCAAAGATGTTCTTTTTAGATCTTTTAGTCACAGCAGTGAAAAAAAAGCTGACTAAAACAGAGTCCATAAAGATTGAGCAAGAATTTCTTAATGATCATGGAGATGGTAATGGACGATAGACAATTAATTGGTGAGGTGTCAACTGAGTTGCAGAGGATTTAAACATGCAACGAGGAGATAACATTTTGGGGAAGGAAAACAGTGAGAACCAAGACATAAAGATAGGAAACGGCAGGATGTGTCTGCAAAGCAGTTTGGTTTGGCTGGATCAATGGATATCAGGTGCTAGGCACTGAATGAGGTGTGGGAGGGGAGCTGTTGATGTCTGGTTTTCTCTTTCCTTTTCTATTTCTTTGAGTGCAAAACTGGCAGTATATTTAGGACTGCCTCATATCTTTCCTTTGCTTCTTGTTCACTACACTTTCCTAGGTTTGCCTCATGCTTGTCTAAAGAATTCTATTGTGGCAAGGTCTGGCTCTCTAAGAAGATATCAAATTTGATCCCAGTGAACAATACCAGGAAGAAAGCTCTCAACTCCCTCTTGCTCCCAGTCTTAGGAAAACAAATGATACTCCCTAGGCTCATTCTTAGCTTATCAGGTGGAACTGGGAGACCCTGGGAAAGAAAACTTTGGAGGGAAAGGGCTCTTTGTCCCAGAGACAGAAACATACTCTCGCCTTCCAACCTGTCACCTTGAGTCAAGGGTCTGCTTCCGCCGTGGCCATCAGAATGGACTATGGACTATGTCACTTTCCCCTTAAAAATGTTTTATGACATTCTTTTGCCCTTAGTGGAGAGTCCAAATTCCTCATTATGGTACTGAAGGTGCTTTATTCACTGAGCCTGCAACTATCTCTGGCAATTCAAGGAAGTGTAGGGAAACACGGGGCTTAGATCTGGGTTCTTTTTTGTTTTGTTTTTGGCTGTACTGGGGACCGGAACCTAGGGGCACTTTACCACTGAGCTGCATCCCAGCCCTGTTTATTTTTTATTTTGAGATAGGGTCTCACTAAATTGTTGAGGCTAGCCTCAAACTTGTGATCCTCCCGTCTCAGCCTCTTGAGTTGCTGGTTTATAGGCAGGTGCCACAGCAACTGACTAAATCTGGGTACTTGAGTTGCCTCTGTTACTACATGAATCTCAGTTTTCCTGTTGGGTCATCAAAAATATAATTTGATGTGTACTTGCCCCTTCCTGGCCCCAGATTGCCATGAGGGTGGGTACTGTGTCTTATGCATTGCTAGGTTGCTACAGCCTAGCACAGCACCTGGCTGGTAAGGAGTAATAAATATTTCTGAAATGAGTCAGTCAGTAAATACTCATAGATTTGTGAGGCTGCTGTCACTGGCTTCTATTAATGCATGTGTCCTGGGGGTCCCATTTATCCT